GATATTCTCAGCCCTTTGCATTTCCATATACATTTTAGAATTGGCTTATCAATATCATAAACACATGCTGAGATTTTAATTTAGATTGCACTAAATTTATAAATCAATTTGAGAATATCTGACATCTTCATAATACTGAGCCTACCATCCCATTAAGTACATTTAATTGCACATCAACTCTGTGCTAATCACTATGCTGAGCTCAGAAGTGGTTCTTGCCCTTGAAGCCCTTACCATCGGGTAAACAAACCCTTATACACAAAATATAATTGATGTGATAGTCTCATCACTAATAATAATAAGAGCTAATATTTATTACATGCCTATTATTTGCCAAGATGACTTTTAAGGACTTTACAAGAGTGAAGCATAAGTGAATTGATATAATACTATGAAGTAAGTGCTATTATTATGCCCATCATAGAGGTATTTATTTTTAATCTTAACAGGGTCCAAGACAAAAGAGCACACAGGTCTTGATAGTGAAATCAGAGGACACATCACACAAAAGGTGAAAAGCTGAATTTTGAAGGAGTTTGTTAGGAGTGGAGGAAGTAGAACATCGCAGACATGAGTAGCCTATGGAGAAAAATGCTGCAGGGTGAAGTGATAAGCTTTCCAGGAAACTGCCAGTGAGTGAGTCCCAGGACTGGTATGTAGTGTGGTGGGAAATGGGAATGTGGTTGATGAGGCTGGAGAGGCAGAGGCTGAGGGCCTTGTAGTCTACGGAGTTTGAGCTTTATGTTGAAGCCAGTGGCTGTGCAGCAGGGATTGCCTATCTGTCTGAGGTTGGGCTCCCCAGAGCAGACTGTATTCATTTCCTGGGGTTGCCACACATACTACCACAAACCAGAGGCTTAAAACAACAGACGTGTATTCTCTCACAGTTCTAGAGGCTAAAGTCTGAAACCAATGTGTCAGCAGAATTGGTTCCTTCTGGGGGCTTGGAGGGAGCATTTCTTCCATGGCTGTCCTTATTCTGGTGACAGTCTTTGCTGTTCCTTGGCTTGTAGGTGCATCACTCTGATCTCTGCTTCTGTCGTAACCTGGCATTCTCCCTGTGTGTCTCTGTGTAGCTTCTTCTAAGGACACCAGTCATATAGGATTTAGAGCCCACTCCAATCCAGTATGATCTCACATTAACTAATTATAGCTGCAAAGACACTGTTTCCAAGTAAGGTCATAGTTCCAGACACAGGGGTTAGGATTCCAAAGTATATTTCTGGAGGACACAACTTAACCCATAACATAAGCCCTCAGGTGAGAATTTGGGTGCAAGTGACTTATTAGGAAGTGATCCCAGGGAAACCCAGGAAGGGAGCAGAGAAACAAAATAGACAAGGGCAAAGGCACTGACAGGCTGTGACCCTGTGGGAGGTCCCTAAGAAGAGTTTCAGTTTGATCCTGACAAACCATTTTGAAGTGGCAGGTGTCCGTCATAGTTGTCCTCCCCTGGTGTAGGCAGCTGGGACTTTCATATTAGGCAGAGCAGCCTCCAGTGACATGAGGTCCACAGGTGCTGACTGCTAGAAACAAAGACATATCAGCTTCAGGGTCACTTTAAAAATGAATGTGAGGGGATCTGAGCAGAGCACCTCTATTGTCTGCTTCCCTTCCTCCAGAATTGTGGCCTTAAAAGGCACCCCACTCCACCCTAGATAGCCTCAGACTGCTTTGGAGCTGTCTGTCTGTCCCTCAGAGATATCAGTTCTTTCTTCTGATATCATAACCATTTTTTGCTTGCCCCTGCTGAGCACCATGATTTTCTTACTGTACTTTATAGTGCTGCCCCCACCCCCACCATGCTTCCTTCCTTCCTTTCTATCTGACCTTTTATAAACATCAATAGCCAATAAGAATGCTCCTTTACTTTTATGGGATGAACTGACCAATCATAGCATGAGATTTGCAATTTTTGTGTCTCAAAGTTCTACTCTGAAAAGTACTGGTGGCTCATGGACCACTGCTACATTATCCAAGATGGTGGTTTTAGTTTTTTGAGTTTTAGGGTGCTTCATTTAAAGGGCTGAAACTAGTTTGAGGAATTCAGAGACTAAATGCCCCTCCTCAACAGAGGATTGCTTATCAGAATTGCATAAATAGTATGTTAAATGAATTAATTTTAAAAATTTTAAACCACTTTTTTATTTTTCAGTTAGAGTTGACATACAATATTATATTAGTTTCAGGTGTACATCCCAGTGTTTAGACATCATATAACTTACTAAGTGATCATTCTGATAAATCCTTTCTCACCCATCCCCTAAACCCCATCTCTTCTGAAAACTGTCACACTATTCTCTGTATCTACAAGTCTGTTTCTGTTCTACTTGTTCATTTATTTTGTTGTTTAGACTCAATTGTTGATAAATATGTATTTATTGCCATTTTATTGTTCATACTTTTTACCTTTTTTTCTTCGTGTTCTTCTTAAAGAAGAAACGTTAACATTTCATGTAATACTGGTTCCTTTAACTTCTTCTTGTCTGGGAAAATCTTTATATGTCCTTTGATTCTAAATGATAGCTTTGTTGGATACAGTGATCTTGATTCTAGGCCCTTGCTTTTTTATAAGTTTGAATATTTTTTGCCAGTCTCTTCTGGCCTGCAAAGTTTCTGTTGAGAAATCAGCTGATAGTCTTATGAGAGCTCGCTTGTAGGTAACTAACTGCTTTTCTCTTGCTGCTTTTAAGATTCTGTCTTTGTCTTTAACTGTTTGCATTTTCATTATGAAGTGTCTTGCTATAGACCCCTTTGGGTTTATCTTGTTTGGAACTCTGTACATCCTAGACTTGCATGTCTATTTCCTTCACAGGTGCTGCTTGTCTGAAAGATGTTAGGAAAGTCTGAAGCATTAGCCAGGTCAGGCCATTTGTAGCAATAAGCCACTGGAAACAGCTTGGGTGGGCCCACAAGTTGGGTAGGGTGGGGTCTCAGGGAATCACCAGGGCTGCGCAAATAGTGTTTGTTAGCCAGGTTGATGGAGACTCAGATATGGGGCCCACCTACGGCTCTGTGTGAATGTAGTGGGTCACAGGAAAGAAAAAATGGCTTCTGCCAGCATTTTTGTCTGTCAGAAAGCCAACCCTCAGCTCACTTCCTGATGCTGGACAATTCAGTTCCTACCCAATTCACTCTGGTTTCTTTCAGAATGCTGCCCCAGCACTGGAGCTCAGAGGGAGTGAATCCAAGTAATTCCATGCATGGGCCATTTAAGAGGAATTGCCTGGGACTCCAGAAACCCTCTGTCTCCCTCTACCTCAATCCCCACTGTTTTTTACAGCCAGAAGTTATGGGAAATTCTCTTCCTGGCACTGGAAACCCTGGGCCATGGGGGCCTGGTGTGGGACTGGGACACCTCCCTCCTCAGGGGGGACCTCCACAGCCGAGATAGTCTCCATATTACTTTTTCTTTAAATCCCTAGTTGTAAGACTTCCATTAGGCTAGATTTCAGGCAGTTTTGGCTGATGGCTGTTCTGTAATTTAGTTGTATTTTTTAAGTGGTTGTGGGAGGACTCCTGTACCACATTTACCTACATGACCATCTGGACTGGAAATCCCCTATAAACATTACCACACCGTGGCTCCAGTGGGGCACAAACCCAGGGCAATCTGTGTGATGCATATGTGCCAACTGCTACACTATGGAACCACACCATTTCAAACATTTTTAAATATAACCAATGCTTGTGGGATATGCATACTCTGACGAATATACTCAGAATGTGCAACCATGGGGGGAGCATTAAACTTGACAGAGGGTTTGACCCTAAGCCTGCCTCTGGGTAGTTTTACTACCTTGGGAGTGTCTGTTGACCTTTCTGTATCTTTGTTTCCTATCTGTGAAGTTGGAAGGCTGGAATGGAGGATAACTGGGATAGCTTGAGGTTCTAGTAGTCTATAATTCCATGTAAGGACCAGAATTTTAGCACTTTGATCATGCAGTGAAGTAGTTTAAACCTTGATTTATGTCAATTTCAAGGAACTTGAATGGAGTGTCTATTAGATGCCAGGCTCTGTGCTAGGGATACAAAGATAATTAAAATCCAGTCCTTCTCCAGCATTAACTGACAGTCCAGTGGAGAAGACAGGTAAAAAGAGACTTTCAATTCAGTGCAAATTTACAATGAAAGATTTTCATTCCAGGAGATTGGGGATACACAGAGAAGAGTGACTGTCATTGCCGAGAAGGCACTTGATCTAGATTGCAATGAAAACAGTTGTCTGGGTAAATGTGAGAGGAACAAGCATAACATGAACGCATAACCCCAGCTACTATAACAAAACATCACAATATAAGTTCATTTCCAGTACTATATTATAGTCTCTGGTCAGTGAGTGATTGTGGTTTTTCAGAAGCCCAGGTTCCTTCCATCTTGTGGCTCCTTCTCCTGGGACACCAGACTAATCTACTAGATCTCCTGCATTTGGCAGGCAGAGGCAGGAAAGAAGAGAGGAGGATCATGTGGAAAGTTTGTACGGGCCAGGTTGGCAGTGGCATGCATCTTGTCTGCGCATGTTCTCCACCTAACTGCAAGGGAGGTTAGCAATGTGGTTCAGCTGAGTGAGTGCCTATGAGAGAAAGGAAATGTGTTTTGGAGAACACACAGCAGTCTGCCAGTTTGTGCTGTAAGCTGCTAGATTTCCCTTGGGCAGATCTGATGGGAAGTGTATCATTAGATAACTGTCAAGATTTGAGTTGCTTGGCAGGGACTATCTTTATCAAACCATGGTTTACTGGGAGAGAACTCACCACAGTCTTGTTTAGTTCAAGAATTCCTGAGATAGCGGTCCAGGCATTTAGCAGGTTCTGAAATGTAAGAGGGAGCTTGATGGAGAGAGTAAGAGTTCACCACTTAACTGGACAATTCTTTCTCACCATCCGCTGCCCCGCTAACCCACAAGTCTGAGATGCTGATGGAGAATTTACATCTATCCACTTGGCAAATAAAAGGCAGTTGATTCTTGTTTATAATCTGCTTTCTTTCTCTTTCCACAGTGACACTTTCGGCTGCTCCTCCCTCCTACTTCAGAGGATTCATATTAATTGCCCTCAAAGAAAACAGAGAGGGTGATAAGGAAGAAGACCATGCTGGGACCTTTCAGGTAAGAGCCTTTCTGTGCTTATCCAGTGGCCCTTATTGCCCTGGTAGGTTGAAGCCAAGTGACATGTGTACAAACAGAGAAGACTGAGTAAAATGAGAAGTGCAAGTGTCTGAGGTGGCTTCTTGTGCAGTTCCCTTGACTTGACCATTGACCGGGTGGGCCAGGTCTACTTGAAAGACCCATAATGGAGTATGCAGCGAATGCCTCAAACATACCTTAGGGAGTTGGCCACCAGGCAGGGCTCGCAGTGCCTTTAGGCAGCACAGTCCAGCACGTTGAGAGAGCACTTGGAACCCGGGCTAGGCCTAGCTACTTTCCCTGTAGAGCCGTTTTGTGATTGACTGGCAATTCTCACCTATAAACTGAGCAAGAGCTTAGGATGGCCAGACTGGAGGGTGTTCAAAGCACAGGAGAAGGACTATTAAGGGAACGAAGGGATTGATTTATAGGGGAAGATTAAAAGAATTAAATATGCTTTGCTTGGCTAAATGAACAGGACTGAGTTTAAGAGGTGGTAATGGTCTTTAAATGTCAGTCCTTGCAGAGCAATCTCCTCGGGGGGAGGCTTCATCTGACTTTGTACAAAAGAGCACAGCACGAGGAAAGTGGGTCAGGAGAAGAAAGGCAATCTCAAAGGCAAGGGCTCTGACAGTGAGTCATATTTCACCGTCGAATATTCTTCCAAGGGAAGTGGCGGGACCATCATCCCTTTTCAGAGGTTTAAAAGGAGGCCGGCAAGTTGTCAGAACACATCCCAGAAGGACTGGGGTGATCCTAGGAGGGAGCCTGGCCAAATTTTCAGTAACCATTACTCATCTCAAATTTCCATTGTTCTGCAGCCCATTTCTATCTGGCATTTGCAAACTCAGAAGAAAAAGAAAAGCTCCGAGGAAGATTACTTAAACCCATAGTTGGCTGCTGGGGACTCTGATATACTTTGCAGGCTTCACAGAGGACCCTGCCCAGCAGTATCTTCCCCATCCAAAGATATTTTCTAATCTCTTGTGGCCAGGTTGCAATTTTGAATCCTGTGATTTAAAAAAAAGTATCCATTTTTTAGGATTCTGGGCTTCTGGCCTAGCAAGCCTGCTAATACGAATGCTCATTGTAGTGTCCTTCTATGGACCTAGATGGTGGGAACTTTCTTGGCACAAATCTGAAGGAGTCACCCCATAATAATACTAACGACAGCCAGTATTTTTCTGTTGTTGGCACTTACTGTAAGCCAGGCACTAGGTTAAGTGCTTTCCCTTATCATGGTTTATCTTAATTTAATTAGCTTGCTTTATCTTAGTTTCTCAAAACAACGAAGTAGATAGGAACTTTTATTTCTATTTCATAGAACAGGAAATTGAAATGAGAGAGATTAAATCATTTGCCTAAATGGTTCATAAACAGTAAGGTCAGGTTCCTCTATCACATGTCTGATTCTAGAAACTCTTCCTTAGGGGATTGAGTGAGCTCCAGGCAGAGGTGTGTTTCAACAGTGCATTAGTACGTTTTCCATTACAGGGACAGGAAGATCCGTGCATGCATTTAGCCCATAGAGCATTAAAATATATCTCCCTGGTTGTTGTGCTAATTTACCTGGAGGTATGGATGATTTATCCGATTAGGGCAGCTGAGAGATCTGGGTACCTGAGTTACAGGAGGGATAAAGTTCTAAGAAAAAAAAGGTTGGGGGCAGCTTGGGGGAGTGTGATCTTAATTTTCACCCAAACACAATTTATCTGCTTCAAAATGATGCTTTGAGGTATGTACCCAAAAGAGTTAGAAGCAGGGACTTGAACAGGTATTTGTGCACCCACGTTCATTGCTGCATTATTCACCATAGCCAAAATAGTCCAGTGATGGATGCATGTGTAAACAAAATGTGGTTTATACAAACAGTGGAATATTACTCATTCCTAAAAAGGAAGGAAATTCTGACACATGCTATAACATGGATGAACCTTGAAGACATTATGATAAGTGAAAGAAGCCAGCCAAAAAAGGACAAATAGTATGATTCACTTATATAAGGTAGCTAGAATAGTCAAATTCATAGAGACAGAAAATAGAATGACAGTTGTCAGGGTATGCAGGAGTGGAGGGACTAGGGAATTATTGACAAACAGGTAAAGAGTTTCAGTTTGAGAAGATGAAAAAAATTCTGGATGGTGGTTATGGCTGCACAACAATAGGAATGTACCTAATGCCACTGAGCTATGCACTTAAAAATAGTTAAAATGGTAAATTTTATGTTACATATATTCTACCAAAGTTTTTAAAAAATGGGAGAGAACACTTTTCTGCTAAAGTGGAAGGAGACAAGCACAGAGACCACCATGTCTGAAGCAGGAGAGGCAAGATGGAGGCCTGAGCACCCTCTAACATCTGAGATGATGGGAACCCAAGTGGAGTGCGTTTTCAAGGCACAAGGTAGTTGTGGGAACAGAGTTAGGCCAGATGAGGATATGATGTCGAGTTAGGCCTGTGGGGACATGGCTTCTCTTTCTTTAATGCTGTTCTGTTTTAATTCTATAGGTTGGTAGTCCTCTCCAACTCACTGTTGTTTCTGCTCAGTTAAATGTTGGGCCCTGCTCACAGTGGGCAGTGAGTGTTTGTTGAATGAATAAATGACTGAATTATTCTTTCTACCAGTGTCCATAATTCAGTTCTATTTGGAATTGTTTCAGAACTTCTATCTTTTTATACATACCTCCTTTTTTCTTCTCTTGGCACTTCTGACATCTTTTCTCATTATATCTCAGTGGTTCTCAGAGTGTGGTCTGTGGACCAGCAGCATCAGCAGCATCTGAGAACTTGTTAGAAATGCAAAATCTCAAGCCTCACCCAGACATACTGAACCAGAAGCTCTGAGGGTAGGGCCCCCACAATCTGTGTTTTAACCCTCAGGGTGAGACCAATGAACACTAGAATTTGAGAAGCAGTGCTGAAAGGAGACAAAGATCCAGCCCATCCAACATGAGCTCCTCCATCACCATGCCAACATATCTGTCTGCTCCTGTCTACCCTCTCATTGCTTCCACCAGCCCTAGAGGGACCAAAGTGGGAGACAAATATGAAAAATGCCTAGCAAACCATAATAATGCTTGTGTGCCAGACATAGTTCTAAGTGGTTTACATTTATTAATTGATTTAAGCATTATTGTCCTGCTTTTCACAAATGAGGAAATTGTGGCACAGGGGAATTAAGTAACTTCCCTAAGATCATCCAGCTCTAAGTGATAAAGCTGGGATTCAAACCTAGGCAGTCCAGGTCCCTGCTTCCAACCACGGTGTGCACTGCCTCTCAATGTGCGTATGTTAAGTGAGAAAATGATGGTGTACTATGACCTTTTATGGTGGAAGTTTCTGTGCCGGGGCTTTATATACTTTTTCCTACTTGACTCTTACAGCAATCTTGTGAGGCTAGCATGGTTATCCCAGTTTTCCAGGTGATGAAACTGAGTCTCCAAGAAGTTCAAAGTAACCTAACATCTGTGGGAGGGGAAGGGGGCAAACACTGTGCCAAGTGGTTTTCTGTCACTTCATCTCTCCCTGTTCCCACCCTACCTTGTGCCTTGAAAACGCACTCCACTTGGGTTCCCATCATCTCAGACGTTAGGGGGTGCTCAGGCCTCCATCTTGCCTCTCCTGCTTCAGACATGGTGGTCTCTGTGCTTTTCTCCTTCCACTTTGGCAGGAAAGTGTTCTCTCTCAGTACCAAAGCTGTCATCTTTGGAGTCATTCATTTACCCATCAGCATTGATTGTCTCCTACGTGCCATGCCTTGAGGTCGGCACTGGGGACGCGAGGGTGAGAAAAACAGACATAGTCTTGCCCATGCACAGCATACAGTGTCCTCCTTGTCACTGGACCTTAGATTACTTCTGCAGCCAGCAGGCGTGGTAGACAGTCAGCACGTCATCAGTTGGGACATGAATAGATGATCAGAAATGACAAATGCCATTGTAACTTTAAAAATATGTATGTAGTGATTAACACATATTTAGATATACTTCTCTGTTAACACCCTCACTCTAAATCTGACAGCTTTGAGGACTTAACATGAACAATAAAGTTCTAATACTCTTTAAATCTGGTTAAAGTTTACATTCTTAGTTCTAGAAGTGGTGCTGAGAATGGGCGATTTTGCTTCTGAATGAGTGACCCCTCACATGGAGAATCCAGACTTGGCCAGGTACAGAGACAATGAAAGTGAACCTTAACACCCTTTTAGACTCAGTGGGGAGGGACTGGGGCTGCTTCATACAGGGAAGGAAAGGTTACAACTCTCACCACTCTGGCAGAGGACCCAAGAAGAGGTGGGGCTGCCTTCTCTGCTTCCAGGGGAGGGTCCGGTGTGGCAGCATTGGCACCAACTAGGGGATCTGTCTCTGGCTGCCAGACAGGAGAGACACAGGAGTCTCTCTTTGATGAGCTGGTTGGGTATACTCATGGTTAATTGAAAGTGACAAGGAATGCAGAGCCTGGCTGCCTGCACAAAAGTAACCCACCCATCCTTTAAAATTGTATTGCTAAAAACGAATTGCTGCCTGGAATGCTGGTGGCCCAGCCAACTGCCTGGCTCACTCTCCCACTTCCATCAGGTCTCTGCTCAGATGCCTCTTTTCCAGGGAGACCACCCTGATGACCTGATTTGGAAGCTCATCCCTCCTTGCTTCCTTCCTGCTTCCATCCCTGAGCTGGATGCCCTATCCCTCTTCCCCACTTAATTTTTTCCCATTGCCTTTGTTGTCACCTGACATGCTATTGATTCTGCTTGTTGGCTTGAGTATTACCTGGACTCTTCCCCCAAATTATTAGCTTCACGAAGCAGGGACCTTTATCTGTCCTGTTTGCTGCCATTTTCCCAGCCCCTGGAACCATGGCTTGCACACAGTAGACCTCAAGTATTCATGGGCAGAACTTTAAGCTGCTAATTTATAATGTTGTTGCTTTATTTAATTTTAATTCAAGGCATATTCCTTCAACTAGTTTAGATAACAGTCTGC